CCCATAACACACTAACGCATGCACATATATACAAACACACACTCGAGATAGATATACACATTATTTAAAAATGCAAAACATCTGGCTAGAGATTTTTTAAAAAGATATGTATTTTACTCAGAGTAAAGGAATCAGTTTAGCATCTAAGTTATACCAATAGTATATTTTTTTAAAGATTGTAATGAGCCCGACAAACATTGATGAGCTAGAGTCACCACCGATATATATATATATATATATATATATATATATATATATATATATATATCATTGAACGTGAGAGACAAGGAACGTCTTACATTTTTGTAAAGTTTTTCTAATGTTCTTAGTTTTCTTTGTTGAATGACTAAGGGAGTGCAGAAACTGGCCATAATATTTATTGTCCCAAGTGCTTTTGATTGATTCATTAGATATTTTCAAGGGATCCGTTAATGTTTTAATGCTAATGTTTTTTAGAGTGTATGTTATAAGATGTATTGTGTAGAAGTAATTTCTTTGTCTGTTGCATTCAATGAAACACATATACAAGAAAGTTTTCTGCCCAAATACAACACACACGCACACACGCGCGCGCACGCACATATTAGAAGTGTTGTGAGGATCGAGAAAAAATAATGAACACGAGCTTTCGCTTGTTTTTAATAAACCTTACACACGCTCGCATTCACTCACACACACACACACACACATATATATATGTGAGGAGTGTAGCTTTCAGCATTCTACGATGAATATTTAAAAAATTTTTCCGATACTTGTACTGATTATATTTTTTGCATGAGTAATCTAGGATTTTTATCTATACAATTAACTTTGTTGTCTTGTGAAATTACACGTTAAAAGTAAAATTATCCAAAGAAAGCTAACCTGAAACAAACAAGAAATAAATAAATAAAAATAAATAAATAAATAAAAGCAATGCATTAGCAGCTTAGTCTCCTGTGCTTATTAATGAGGTATTCCGTTATGTTGTTAACACGTGGTATCCTCCCGTGTTGGCGCCGCCATGCCTTTTGTCAATTTAACAAAAAAATATTACATTATCGAAAATAGGGGAGATAAGTTTTTGTCACTGATTGGTATATGACATCATATTGTGTTTTCTGAGAGATTGCGGAACTTTTTCCAAGATAAACAAAATAACCAAACATAATTTTTTAAAAATTCCTTTCTTTAAAAGAGAACTTTTCAGCATCTCTCATAAATGAATAGAATTTTTTCATGCAGTCGTTTAGTCTTTTGTGGATGGATGAAGAATATAAAGAGAAATTTCCCAAACGGAGTACAAAAAAAAAATAAAAATGCCATTTGAAGACGACCGGAAAGAAAGGTTTTGCTAGATGATTTTGCTTCCTCCTAACAGAATTGATTTCTGTCATTGATTTCTTTAAATTAAGAATTGAACTCTGCTAAAAATCTCCTGTTCGATCAAAGAAAAGATTTCATCCCAACAGACTCGAATTAATTGTTTTACTGCATCAAATGAATGAATTTCAGCATTTTTTCCATCATCCATGGCGCTGTGTGGTGGTGATGGGGATGGCTTCAGACTCCGCTCTACATTTTATTGAAACTGAAAACAGAAGGCTAAATTTGTCTTTTTGGCCTCAATCTATTAGAATACTTTTGATCCGAGCCGTGTCATTTGTCTAATATCATTACTGTCATTGATTTTCAAAATAAATCATAAAAACATAAGCATCTAAAACTTTTATATAACATTTATGTGACTAAAAAGACTTTAGGTCTCAATTAAAAAAAATAAGTACAAGCGAAAAGTATAAAAACGAAAAATATCCAGCCTCCACAAAGTGAGAAAAAACCCCCAAAAAACAAATAAAAAACCCAAACAAACCCAAATTTATTTCAAATCAAAATAAAAAATGTCTCCAGTATGATAACAGATCTAAAAATATTCATTTTATGAGTGCATCAGATAAAAAAAATATCGAATCAGGAATATTTTAAACTTAATATCTGATTTAGCTCCACGCAAGTTTTATCATCGGATTTTAACCCGGCCAACTTTTTATTTGCAGCGCCCTGCTTGTCCATAATGTAAGCAACCTGATTGTGAAGGGTCACCATTTTTTTTTTCATTCAGTTTTCCCCGAAGGCGTGATTTTGTTTCGCTCATCACAAAAAAGCCAGTCCAGTATTCGTCTATATATTTTCCAAGTACGTGAGTGCGCTGAAAAATTTCGCGCCTTTTTCAAGTATTCGCATTCTCATTTCATGGTGATGTCTGTTAGAAAGAGATTAACTTAAATTTTAAATTTTCAAAATGTTTGGTGTTAATGTATTTAGAATCAAATATATCATTAATTATTTTCAGTGTTCCCCCTATGCAGTGTAAATGCAAAAATTTTCAGCATTATTTGCCAAAACCGCTTATCTATAAAAATTCATAGTATTATTATTCAGTCACCAAAGCCTTTTCCTCAACTTTCTATAAATTCATAGCAACTTTCTGCTAAATTATATATGCCATTATTAAAGAACTGTTCCACTTTTTGGTACGATTAAGTCTTCGATGCTTTCCATATCTTCAACTTCTTTGACATAAACTTCAGTTCTATTGTCTAGTTTTTGCTGCACTTTTCACCAGATTAAACAGAAATATTAAACAGTATCAAATGTTCATTTCATTTTCTTATATGATTGAACGAAAATAGAAAGTAAACAAAATTATCAAGCTTCTAAAATCTGTCATTTTGTTTTTTCAGTCTATAAGCATTTATTAATTTTGGGGATATGTAAATATTGGTCATTTATATTTAGTTCTAGAAGTAAATATTTGTCTTTTATACTTGAGCCTATAGGTAAACATTTATCTTTTATACTAGGGTCAAAGGTTAATATTGGTCATTTATAGTTAGTTCTAGAAGTAAATATTCGTCTTTTATACTTGAGCCTATAGGTAAGCATTTATCTTTTATACTAGGGTCAAAGGTTAATATTGGTCATTTATAGTTAGTTCTAGAAGTAAATATTCGTCTTTTATACTTGAGCCTATAGGTAAGCATTTATCTTTTATACTAGGGTCAAAGGTTAATATAGTTCATTTATATTTAGTAATGAATGTAAATATTGGTTGAGTTTATACTTGGATCTATGGTTGAATATAGATGGGGTTTATTCCTGGTTCTATAGGTATATGTTGATGGGGTCTATACCTGCATCTATTGGTAATTGTTAGTCGGGTCTGAAGATAAATATTGGTTGTTTATATTTGAGTTTATAAACAATTACTAGGTTGGTGGCCGACTAAGAACTCTCGAAAGATTATGCGTATACCAGCCATGAAGAGATCAGTTTACTTCAAAGATAATTTTAGCATTTCCCTCATGTTGTGCAAACATGACGCTAAGAACTTTTGCACCAACTTAATATTAATGATGTGTGTATGTGTATGTTTGTTTGTTTGTTTGTGTGTGTGTGTGTGTGTGTGTGTGTGTGTGTGTGTGTGTGTGAATCAACTGTTATTCATTTGCGTTCCCAAGCGCGTCTTATTGCACGCACTATCAAAGATGTCAGAAATACTTGATCTCAAGGAGTCGAAAATCCAATTAACGTTAAAGCTGTGTCTGAAATGCGAGCAGTGACTCATTTCCTAGTGTAAAGCTATACAGTTTGAATACAGTTGCTTGAGTAAAGATCAAGTGTTTAAAAAAATTGAGTTCATGCCTTTTCTAACGCTTTTAAATGATATTTACAGCCAGAAACCAGAATTCGAAATATTTGAACCAGATCTAATTTCTGTCTTTTCGGTCTGTGGAAATGTTCATAGCGCACTTTTTGAAGAATCGAAACTGAATATACAGTTCAAAAATTGTTTTTTCTGAATAGTTTGAAAGCTAGATAAAGTATTCAAAATGAAGTGTATATGCTAATGTTTGTACCTGTAAGATATATATATATATATATATATATATATATATATATATATATATATATATACAGAGAGAAAGAGAGAGAGAGAGACGATAGAGCTATATCCTCTTGTATGTGCTGCGTCCCTTCAGGAGAGGGGCGATCATGATTCTCTAAAAAATCCCTATCTTTTGTGGCCCTTAGCAGTTTTTTTTCTCTTTACTAAGACTAACTTGTCGGGTAGGTGGCTTCTCTGCCTTCTTCTATCTCTCATACTGTGAGGGATAAGTTTTCTAAGCCCTCCTTTCTCATTATGGGTTCAAGGAATTTCAGCTGCATCTTTCTGATCCTGAGCATAAGTGTTCTTTTTGTGGCAAGACTTCCTTATTGCTTATTCACTCCATCCATAGAATTGTGAATATACTTCTGTAGAACCACATTTCTTTCTCTTCATCCGTGTGAAGATTGTCCAGCATTTACGGCCATATAAGAGCATGGATAGCACATAGCAGTCCAGTACTTTTTTCTTTAACGAATTTCTTTTGATTTCTCAGCATTTTGTATTGCTTTTGGAATGCCTCTTTGCTAGTTCAATGCGTGTTCGCATTTCAGTGTCGCATTTTCCATATGTTTGTTTGAAGCTCACTATATTGATAAAGAGTGCTCAGTATTGGAGACAGAGTGTTTATAGATATAGACAGTGTGGATATAGGAATTAACACTGTATGTTGTCAATTTCATGCCTCAGTACTAATTTACTACGTAATAAATTGAAATTCACATTATTAAAAAAAATAAACATCACATGAGTGAATTCATAATATTTAATTAAAAATACATTAAGACAAATGATCAGGTGCCGCAGAGTGGAGTAGTTTATCGCACGTTGGTGCACATGCACACACACATATACATATAAATACAGGAGTGGAAACAGAGGTCAACACCTATTGGCGACAGTCTGTTTCATGCTTGAACGCAATCTTCAGGCAATGTGTGTTGTGTGGTAGCTCGGCTGTTTAGATATGCTGGTCAATGGGACATTAAGGATAGCAAGGTCAAACTATATATAACTCAATTAATTAGAAATCTTATATACATAGACTCACTCTATCTCTGATATTGAGCACTTTTACCCCAAAATAACATACCTTAAAACTATATTTTTTATCATATCTATCTATCTATCTATCTATCTATCTATCTATCTATCTATCTATCTATCTAAACACGGTATTTCTCGCCGTGTCACAACAACTTAACCCGTGCCATATACCTCTAGGAGATATGTTAGACATATTAGACTAACACTTAAACACCCCTATTTGACACTAATCCACTGATGACCCTAGATTCAAATATATATAATTATAAATGATTAAAATATGATTACAAATAAAGTATGACTGAGTCATTAGCTAAATATTATTATTATTTTTTGGAATTGTTCCTTGACAAATTATAAATATATCTTTACTAGCTTACTGCCACATCACCTTGAAATACCGTACGATCACCGAAGTTAAGCAACATCGATCCTGGTCAGAACCTAGATAGGTAACAGCTTGCGAATACCAGGTGGTGTTGCCTTGAATATGAGGGTAGAGTAACGGATAACCGCTCGGAATTGTTAATCGGATAACCGTGTTCCAATTACAGTTGGGGTCGTTATATTCACTTATGCGCAAATACTCCGGGAAAAGTATGAATCTAATTCTTCACCTCCCAGCTATGGGTGAATTAGTAAGATTTGTAACCATTATTATCGCCACAAAAATAGAATAAAATTGAGTATAAAATATTTACATTTCGACATTAAATTACCCATAGAGTTTGATATGCCGCTAAACAAAAACAGCCAACCACCATCTTATATGTTGTGAAATTAATTATATATATATATATATATATATATATATATATATATATATATATATATATATATATATATATATTTAAACAGATTTCTCATACTGCCAAATCTAATCAGACATTTGAGGAATAAAAAATATGGGATCATATTAAACATAAGATACAACAATATCCGCGTTTAAAACATAAAATGTAAGGCGCCTTTCGACCGACACATTTTCAAACACAATCGTCGGTAATCTAAAACAGAATACTAACAAGAAAAAACTATATATATATATATATATATATATATATATATATATATATATATATATTACAATGATGTTCACTCGGCACAAAACCCAAGATCCACTCGAGTTAGACGGATACAGAGTAAGAGGTACAGTTTATTGGGATATGTCGTGAAGATAACGTTTGATCTTAGGCCTGAACAGGTGAAGATTGTAGTGATTGGGGAAGCATCCTCACCGGAGTGGATTCCGCAAAACGACTGTACTTGGGAAGAAGCTGCTCGAGTGGAACTTACATCTCACCAATGCAATGCAATAACAAGGGAATGGGGGTGGTTCGCTTCAATATGCCTGTCATGGCGGGTCTTAGCCGTGAAAGTTAAAACTGACGAAACTAAGGAATGTAGCTCATCTGAACACTTTCCATGGAAATAGTGATAGAGCAGCGAGAGACTTGTGATGTTTCCTCTGTGAGAAACGGATTGCAGGGTGGAAAATATTTCGTCACACACAAGGACGCAGAGAGTCTCTTTGAATCTATCAAGATTGGAAAATGAAAACTAGGCAGCTACTGCCCATATATAGCAGCAGTACTCCATTTATGGACTGGTTTGACTCTTGTAAAGGTAGATGATAGGTACCTACTGGGGTCCTAAAGGGAACCAAATATCTTTCCAGAATCTTTAGCGATGGATCGTGTGTATGAATTCCACCTGAGGTCTGGGTTGAGTTGAAGTCCCAATAGATGCTCAAGGCACCGGACCTCGCTGAGGAGGCACCCGTTCATCGTGATCGGTGAAAGTTTTGGGACCGCTCGGTGATGATGGAACGTCAGTAGTTTGGTTTTCGAAGCATTGAATGTGATCAGCCAGTTTTTCCCCCACTGCGCTGTTAAAGGTAGAGCAGAGGAGAGACCAGCTGCCAATATCTGTTCATCTAGAGTTTTTGAAGTATACTCAAATACCGTTTTATCATCAGCATAGATATTCAAAAATGATTAGAGTATACTCTTAAGCAAATCAATTATGCAAAGTAGAAAGAAGGTTGAATCGAGAAGCGAACCTTGGGGACGCCTGCATTGATCGCTTGGGCCACGGTGGACTGGCCGTTAATGACTACCTTCACGGACCTATCAATTAGGAAGGACTTAATTAAGAAGACTCTGCCAGTGATATCTTTATATCTCACCGTGTCAGAGACCTTTAAAACATCTAAAACAATCGGGCTTGAGATGTATTTGTTGTCTAGTACCTTACTGATTCTGTCTCACTGGTTCTGTAAGTGAGGATATCAGCAGTGGACCAAGTCGATCGAAAACCGTAGTGTTTGTCGCGCAATATATGCCCCTATTAATGTGATCAACAAACTTCTGGTTGATTATAGCTTTAAAAAGTTTCATAATGACACTGAAGAATTGATGGCTCTATACTGTGACGGGGATGAACAGGAACCTGCATTCTTGAAAATGGAGCATACACTTGCCACCTACCACAGACTTGGGAAGGATTTCGCCTTCAAGCAGCGGTTAAAGATTTCACTAACATCATGGATAACTCCCGGTTAATATTCTTAAGGAATATAATATTATAATATTCACTAGGATTTTATCTGGACCATTAGCCTTCTTAGAGTTAAGACTTTTGATAAGTCTGGGGACTTCCTGAACTACACACGCACACACACGCACACACACGTACGTACGTGTGTCTGTGTGTGTGTAAAGCATTTTAACTCGTGCATGACAAGATTAAAACATTTTATTTTAAACTTTGGCCTGTTACGATACACTGTTTCTCAAACTTCTCAATAGTTGAAATTATTCGGAACAATACAGAAAATTTCGGTAAGCCCCTTTACACCAGAAGCAACTCAGCAAATGCTTAACACATATTTCCTGTTCGTACTGTTTAATAGAACATGTTCAAACGGATTGCTGCATCAATATACAATGCTTAATATATATATATATATATATATATATATATATATATATATATATATATATATAAAGATAGAAAGAAAGAGGGTGAGAAAAGTGAAAGAGTAATTTTATCTATTGTTTATCCTGAATAATACAAAAATAAATCGTAAGGAAAAGACTGGAATAATCTAACACGACGTCGTGACAGAGGAATATAGAATTCTAAAACACAGCAGTATGGCATGACATTCTCCCGATTCTTTAACGATGCGACAACATCGGATTTTGATTAAAACAAAATTTCAAACATGTCAACTAATTCTTTCTTTCAACATTTTCAGATATTCGCGCAAAGCATCGCAAAGCGATTGAAATCTGACAACCGCAAACACACATAGCACCTTCCCGTTTTTCTAATATTTCTTGGGATTCAAGCGTTATGATCTGCTGCTCCATATCAGATGGATAGGAAGACTATAAGGTGGTGAAAGACTGATCTTGAATGAAGCTTATAAAATCACGAAAATTTACTTTACTTTGAAATTTATTTTTTGAATTAGATTTCACTTTTATGGCAAATAGAGAAGTTGATGCAAAGAAAAAGATCATCTATTTTTTAATCATTTCATCCCAAGCAAGGCAATAATACCATGAAGACAAGGGGTTAGTGGAAGTGAAAGAAAATAAGACATTAAGAGAAGAAACGGAAAAACAAATCCTAAATAGGAAACAACGGACAACTCCTCTTCAAAAGACAGGGAAAGGTGTGAACCTGGCGATAAGCGAACCTATCTACCTTTTCTTTCTTTTTTTTTTTTTTTTTTTTTTTTTTAACTGAATCCATGTAAATTTGACAATTTTGAGCAATTAAAATTATCCGGAATATCATACCTTTTCTCTCACTCGTTATCTGTATCTTCTCATTTTTCCCTTATCCTTTCCAATCTTTATTGCTCCGCCGTGATTGTACCTAAACGTGGACTATTTTCATGAACGGAAAAAAAAGAATAAAGAATGCACAAAATATTTTTCATCTGCATCATCTCTTTTATCTTTATTTTATTCTAGCACTCAATAAATAATTTTAATGTAACAGAATTTCTTATGTCTTTCCGTTCATCCGTGTCTTTAAATCGTTCTTTCTTTATCTCTTAATATTTCTTTTCCCCCATCCTTCTTTGTCTCTCTCTACGTACCACAAGGTCCCCAAACAACCCTCCGCGGGTTTTGAATAGAGAGTTGTCCTTCTAATAGATCAGTTACCAACTAAGGCTATAGAACCCAGTTTGTCCTGTTATTTACCCAGACCTAGAGGGAGAAGAAGAGGATTAATAGTATTAGCACGTAAGTCAATATAATGGATTCGATTGGAATTCGAACTCAATCCTCAGTCCGAGCCGCTATCCACTATTATATATATGAAAAGATTTTTTATTTGACATTATTTCTTATGACTGTTAGCGTTAGTTTTTGGTGGGTAAATCCATTTTTTCCATCAGAGAAATCACATTATTAGCCAAAATGTGCCTCTACATGTTCGGCCACGAGCTCAGCCTGACAAGGCAAGGTTAGAATTACCTATTAAGGAAAGCAAATTTTTAATGTGACTCCTGCGAATAGATTCAGTTTCGTACCTGAAACGTAAACAGTAATTTTTTTAAAGGAATTTTTTTCCAACATTATTGCTTATGAATTTATTTTTGATGATTACTCGTGTTTGAGATGCTGTCCCTAAGTGGTCTCCCTGATGGAAAAAAAAAAGAGATGCAGGTTCGATTCTTGTCGAACTTACAATTTTTTATTAGTAAGACTTCTCAAGTTTTATTAAATTACATAGACAAGTTCTGTCTATTCAAAATTTTATTAGATCATTCCAATTTCTGAATGTGGTGTTGTACATCGGGATTGAAGATATGAATAAATTGTTCAATGTTTTTTTTTTTTGTCATAATCAAATATTTTCGAGTATTATTCTCATTGGCAAGAACTGGGCGTTATCAGTATAGTAAGCAAGATATCTTTTACTAATTCTTGTAATTCGATTTTAAATGGAAATGGAATTGGTATCAGTTCAAAATGACGTTATATGTAACGGTTAACCGGAAAAGCATGTATCAAATATCTACACTTTTTTTTTTTTTTTTTTACACACTTTAATGTACTACGGAGAAAAGATATTTTTTTAATATCGGCTGTTTCTTTTGCATTATAATGGCTTCTATAATTTTGATTGGTTCTTTGCATTGAGTCCTGTATAACACTTTGGCGTTATCGTGATCTATTTGTTTTATCATTTTGATTGTTTGTAATGTGCTGATCGATATGTATACGAATTACTCTGTTTCGATAAGTGACATGTCATCCTGCAAAAGAGTGTGGCGCACGTGTAACCAATATATATATATATATATATATATAATACCAATTTGTGACCGGTAAGGATAATTACAAGGAGGATATTAATACAAAGAGGGCTCAATGTAAATTTAAATTACAGAGCATTATTATAATAAATCAAGAAAAAAACTTAAAGATCCATTTCGGTTATAATTTATTTCGTGAATATTGTTATATTCATCTCTTCAGATCGAAAGAAAATTCTAAATTTGTTCTCTATATTCATCTATATATTGATTTATTCATTTATCTTTTACCTATTATTTTTTTATTAAAAATCTCTTTATTTTTTTTTAATTAATTTTAGTTTGGATTTATTATTATTATTGTTATTTTTATTAGTTTTATCTTTATTAGACTTTATTTTTTATTAGCATTATCTTTATTAGACTTTATCAGACTAATTTGAATTTGTGATGACTATTGCTGCCTAAAATAACAAGGTGTATCGGACAATTTGCTGTAAATCTTTCAAGTCCGATAACACACCACATCACCCGATGTATGAACTTGTTCAAACCTTTAAGGAAAAAATTCTTGGCCAGGTCATTCTATTTTAGTTTTACTACTATCCAAATCATTTATTTTTTATTTTTTCCCTTTCCTTTCCTTCGCTATCTATCTCTCCCTTCCTCTCTCACTCCCCCTCTCTCGTTTATTTTTTAAAAGAAATTATATTCGAGAACCTGTTATTTTTCTTTCTTCCTCCTTTCTTTCTTCTCCTCCTGTTAATCTAGTATATCAGTCCAGATGAATTGTCTCCATTTATTAAGAACTTTTGGTCTGAAGAAATGAATATAACAATATTCACGAAATAAATTATAACCGAAATGGATCTTTAAGGTTTTTCATGATTTATTTTATATATATATATATATATATATATATATATATATATATATATATATATATATTTTTTTCCTTTTAGTTGTTTTATTTTCATTGTTTCTGTAGCATTTTTGAACACATCTTTCCTTCCTGCCTTATATGATGGTGTAATTTTTTCTTTCAGAAAGTATAACTGATTCTGGCTCGGAAGATCTGGGCATCAGACAGATACTACACTCTGATCCTAGGTAGAAAAGCATATGTCGTTGTATATACAAGCAAGCGTAGCGGAATAGTATGCCTTTCTAAACTTTAATTTGGACACCATGACTGATGAAATGTTACGAAGTTCCAAAGGCCCTCTTTTTGATAAACTAAAGACAGAATCTTGCAGAAGAAAACCATTTTTTCTAATAAAAGAAGCTGGAACCTTTTGCACGCAACTAATATTCTACAGTATCCCAAATTTGTATTCAAACCGATTAAGTATTTTATTTTCAGCAAGATGGCCTTCATGCATACTATTATTAGTCTTTAACTTTTGGATGACAACATTTCATGAACCTGAATTAACGGAATAGATCCGATAGTATAAACACAGTTTTCTAGATCTTACCTTTTTTTGTTTTTAAGCGAATTCACCCCATGTAAGGCAATAAAGCCACTAAGACACAAAGAATTAATGGGCGTGAGAGAATTAGAAAACAAAACCATTACTAAGGATCAAGAACAATAGAAGAGTAATCACTAAGACAGTAGATAACGACTGACATTGCATTTAAATTTTTGAAGATCATACTTGCCTGTAAAGTCAGAAGAGAACTCTACAAGCGAGAAGGCTGATAAAAAAAATTACCATAGAACTTACGGTTACATCTAGCTAGTTCAACTCTAAATCGATGGGACCTTGTTTCTAATTTAGTACTGCGCTTAAATTCATAAAGTCTAGGTACCATGGTGAAGAGCTCATCCGAATAATTACCATGAAAGTAGTTATAGAAAAGGCACAGGGAAGCAACTTTACAGTGATGGGAAAGTGACTGAAGCTGAGGCGCCAGGTCAAGACCAATAATATTGCTGATTCATCTTTGGATTTTATCAAGACTCTCTAAGTCTATAAAGCAAGATCACCGGACCAAATGTATCAGCAATATTCGAAGAATGGACGAATGTTAGACTTATAGATATGTAAGATAGATTCTGGAGATAAAAATAATCTAACATGACACAGTGAACCAACTGCAGCAAACCTAGCAATGGATTCAGTATAATCTTTTTACTTCATGTCAGCCGAGAATGTTAGCCCGAAAATGCGCAACTAGTCATCCACCTGGAGGTTAGCATCAGCCATAGTGATAGAAGGCAGAAAGGGGTCACCCAGATAATTAATAGAGAGCAGTTTTGTTTTGGATGTGTTGAAATTAATAAACCACACTTTGCCCCAGTTAACAAATGACTGTAAGTCTTTTTTGAGATCAGCCGCCAATTTGACCTTATCAACCTGATCGGAACAGGAGTAAATGGATGTGTCATCAGCATAGATACCAAGTTGAGAACTGATGCCATCAGGAAGGTCAATGATGAAAAATAAGAACAAAGCAGGATCAAAGAATCCCTGGAGGGACACCTTCATTAGTACAGAAGTATCTAGAAGAGTGGACGTTTTGGAAAATTTTCACTTACGATTTAATAAGAAAGTCCGAATCAGTTAAAAAATTCGTCACCATCACCTTTCAACTTGTGAAGAAGACCAGTATGCCAAACCATGTCGGACGCTTTCGAGGTGTCCAAAGAAACAGCCCGAGGGTCACCATTCTTATTTAAAGCTTGATAGACTCTTTCCGTCATAATCGTTAATACATTGGCAGTTGACCTAGAGAAACGAAAGCCATATCGCGATGTGAGATGCTTAATCAATTAGTTGATTAAGGCCTCTAGTACTTTACCAAAAAGAGGTAGAAGGATAATAGGCCGGGGCTGGAAGGGGTAGACGATTCACCTGAGTTATTAGGGACTGGAACAACAGATGAAGGATTTCCTACAAGAAGGAAAGCAAGAGGCGGGGAGGCACTTATTATACAGTTTATAGTGAACAGGAACCACTTAGGAGAACTTTTCTTAACAACTATTACATGGATACCATCAGGTTCCAATTCTTTGTGTGGATCCAGATTAAAGTTGATATGAGACACCATAGAAGCGTTTATATGCATATCACTCAACAGAGACTCAGTTCTAAATGAAAAGCTAGGCAAGGATTCTCCAGAAGAGTCAAGAATAGAGAATTTAGGAGTCAAGAGAATTTACGAGCGAAACATTCTGTTTATCAGCAGATGTTAACACCTCAAATTGATTGAATAGAAGAGGATTAGAAAACATTCTTATTTAATACACTATCAAGAGTCACCAGTATTCACGAGAGTCAAAGTTGTTAGATGCAATACTTTGCCTCATTGTATCAGCAACCTGAAATAGCTCTTTCGAGGACACGTTTATATTTATTACATGCAGGCACTAATAGGCGTCTGTTGTAATCAGAACTGTCACGGTGATATAACCGGGAAAAAAAAAACGGAAGGAGGTCTTGTAAATAGTGGTTCCTGTCTAATAGATGACTGTAGATACTACAGCGTGATCAGCGTTGCCAAGAGGACAGTTTTGCGAATCTCGACAAAAGCTAGGAGAGGAGGCAAGGAAGGAAGCATGTTGGTCGGATTTATTAGTGAAACAATTTAGGAAATCCATGATTTAAAAGAAAAAGCGATAGCTAACAGCGTGTAAGCTAAAGTCGAAAGCACATGAAAGAGTTGTCTGGGGGACACGAATGACACTTCTCTTGCCATTGGAAGATTGTCCCGGATGTAAACACCGAAGCCATACATATAGATGCTAGAATCTTTTCGGCAAAAAGGAAGATAGCCTGGGACAGAGAATTCATTGGTGGCAATGGAAGAATTTAAATTAGGATTTCTAATTATCATTCACATGATGCAACATGTATACTTGTCAGGGTTTACTAAGCTTAGTCTAATACTAAGGTATAAACTTACTTCCAACAGCTTGCGAGATTGGTTTGCTCGCCATTCATCTCGATACTAAATTAAAAGAAAAAGAATGCTTTAGATGGCAGCTATTAACGAATATAAGAAATAAACTTGATTGTAATTTAAAGTTTTTCGAGCCTCTGCAAGTGCGTATATCATTGAAAAAGTTACTATGGCATCTTATGCGTTAGCCTTTTCATTGGATCTTTGTTTCATTGCGATGCCTTTCTCTTTATAAGTTTCTTCCGTTTGATCATAACATTGCTTTCAGCTTTCAAATTCCCTTTTCATCCATTGTCTTTTATATACTATTCCCCTTTCTTATTATATTTTCTGTCCCCAACCTGTTACACTAACTCCCCAATCCCAATCAATAACCTCTTATTTTCTCTAAATCCCTCTTTCAGTAACTTGTCACTCTCTCTAACTCCTTCCCTCTATACTTTCTTAGTTAATTTCATTTCACGACTCTATAATTTCTCTCTCTCTCTCTAACCCCACCACTTCATAACTTCTTATTTTCTAGCTTACTTTCTCTGACTACCCAATCTCTTACATTTTATTTTCCCCAACCCATAACTCAGTCTCTGACTTATTCTCACAACTCCATAACTTATTACTATCTCTCTAATTCCAACCTCTGCATTCTAAATTATCACTTCCTTCCCACTCTGCAACGTCTTACTAACCGTTTATTCTAAATCACCACTCTAACCTCTTACTTTCACTGACTCCATAACACTTTCATTTTCTCTAACTTGATATTTTTCGTGGAATCGGTGTGCGTGTATCTCCAGGACATGAAGATTACGTCCAAGTATGAAACAGACTGTCACCGTTTTGTATTATCCTCAGTGCCCACTTTTATATTTACACATGCTCTATCTCTGATATTGAGCATTTTGCCTTAAAACTATATTTTTATTATTCATATATATATATATATATATATATATATATATATATATATATACTTTGATCAGCAATATGGCGTTATTTCTGGAGTTGTTCAATGAGATAAGTCCTTTGAACATTATCTATTTATAGGCGACACACACACATTTATATCTTGGTTTGTTCATATCTATCTATCTATCTATAGTTTCTTCAGCATTTACATTTTATTTTTTTCATATTTTCCATTCGTAGGTTGATCCTTATCTTTAATGTAAACTATATTTTCCTTACGATAAATCCGCTACCGATTTTGATCCACTTCTTTATATCAAGATTTAACCCTAAACATCTTCACTGTCTCTCGGTTACCGAAATCATTTTGTTCGTTGACCCACTATTTTAAAGAAATAAAGCGGATCCTTTTGTTTATCAAATCTAACAAAACAGAATGAAATCAAATTTCTTGCACGTTTATCGGCTTTTGTAACGATTGGCTTCAAGATAGTAATACACACATACATTCAGTTGTTTAAAATTCAGTCGATCCTTTTTTGTTTAATTCGTGCTTATAGAAAATCCATGAATCCATGTCTCTCTAGCTAGGGATTAAATAGCAGAGTAGATTGGTCTCTTGCTTTGGGTGACAGCCAGTGTAGAAGGAAAGCTCTGAATTCATACCATCTCTTTACGAGAAGGGTAATATACTTTCATGAGTCTTTCAAACGTCATGTACTGTCATGCACCTTTATGAAGCTTTGAAATTATTATATTGGAGTGGTTAAATTAAGTAATAAACGGTTTCCTTTTTGCTTCAGCATCAAGCAGAAGGTGTGATCACGTTGTTTTCGTGGTCTAAATCTGGTCACCGCTAATCACTGCCGCCTAATGCAAAGTGAAGGTGTCAGCTCGTTCAGAGAGAAGTAAATAACCACTTGCAGCATACACGAAATCCCAGTGTCCAACAATAGCTGTATCTAAAAAGTAAAGGCGGCAACCATAACGAACAGGCAAAAAAAAGACCTTTCTCTGTCATTCTTGCTCCCTCCCACTCTCCCACTCTCTGTAACACACACACACACACACACATATATATATGTATTATATATTTACTTTCAAAACTTTCCAATTACAACATAAAAACGAATAATGTACGCGTACTTTTGGTGATTAGAATATTTTAAAAAATAAATATATAAATATTATCGATACCAAAACGATACATCAGAGTCGATGTCGTGATGCCCGATCCAAACATTTTTGATCGCAGACCAAAAGTGGAAAAGAAATCGATGAGGAGAGTAAAAATATTTAATGATAACCTTTTTTTTTATTAATGGAAGGACCCATAACTTTCTTTTATGGTCTTGATTTAAAAACGTGATACTTTGGATAAAAAAGAGAGAAATAGACAGAAAGAGACTGTAGTATTAGGGTTAAAAGGATTAAACAGGAAAAAAAATTGTCAATATGTCGTAAATAGCTTATATTCTGATAAGAAATATTTTGATTAGGAGACATATCAATATGAACATAGTTTACATTAACTATATGTATATAGTTTAATGTTTTTCTTAACATCTATCTATCTAATCGGAACCTTGTCCATTCAGCATGTTTTCAACATATATACCACATGTACCTCCAGCTGATTGATGCTACCTTCAGCATACCGACTCCAGCGTTTCGTAGGCAGACCTGTCCGTCCGCTCTTCAGGGGGTATCAGCGATTTACTATTTATATTTTTTCGATTTTTTTCCTTTTATGTACATTTAACATTAGTTTAAGTTCATTTTCCGTATTTTTTGTGCTCTTGTGTGTGTTTGTGCGCGCACGGCCATGCGCCCGTCTCTACGGATGTGCGTTCGGCCGCGTGCGCCCGTTCGAGCGGATGTGCGTACGTGTAGGGAGTCGTGATTATTTTACCCTTTTCTTTTTTCTTTCACTTTACACTTGCTCATTTAGCCTTCTCTCTTTTTTTCCCCTTTTCTCTTTTTTTCCAATTTTTGCTGATTTTGTCTAGATTTGTTCAGACTCTAGATATGTGATCGATTTTATTTATGGGCAATTGTATTTGGGTTTTTATATAAATAATTGATAATAATGCTTAAATGGTAAATACTTATATATACACGTGCACATATATGCATATACACACACATACACATACATGCATACATATATATATATTTATATATCTTCACTGGGCTATTATTTCGTTTTTTAAATTTGTCTTGGTGGTATCATAAGTATTAATTGTAGGAGGTTAGATTTATAATTAAATTTATTATTATATTATTGTTAGAATTTATGTGCGTATGTCTATTTATACGCTTATGCATACGCACACGTGCACATATATTCATGCAAGTATATATGTATACGTATGCGTACATATGTACACATAAACGTGCGTACACGGGTACATGTACACTTATGTCGGTGCTTTGTTATTAATAAACTAGTGCTTAAATGGTGACCTTATTTTTTAAATATATTTACACACACAAATACACACACACACATATACATACACACACACACACACACACACACACACACACACACACATATATATATATATATATATATATATATATATATGTACTTCCGCACATCCACACACGCACATATATGTAATTGTTAGATAGTGTATATGTAATTATAATAATAATATGTTTACATCATATGTTATCGTTTATTTAATGTTTCATTTTTATTTTTATTCAATGATTATTAGTTTATTTGTTTTTGCCTTGGTGTTGTATATTTAGGTATTAATCATGGGGGTGGTGATAGGTTTGTTCATTTTATGATATTTGTATATGAATAAAGCCAAAAGGATAACTTTTCTTTATCGTCACGTTTCGTCCTCTGATGGACTTTAACAAGGTAAATGTAAGGGTTTTATTTTGCAACAAGTAATCGTTCCGAGGACAAAACGTGATGACAGAGACAATTTTTTCATTTTCCATTCATATTGTCCTTTTATGGATATATTTTATGTATAACTGAATTTTTACACACACACACACACACACACACACACACACACACACATATATATATATATATATATATATATATATGGAGAGAGAGAGAGAGAGAGAGAGAAAGAGAAAGAAAGAAAAAGAAAGAAAGAAAAAGAAAGAAAGAAAGAAAGAAAGAGAGAGAGAGACACACATACACGTTGGCCATGTTTCATTGTTTCGTACTTTCCATTGGTTCTATTGATCAGTGTTCGAGCCTTGCTAAAAGCTAAAATTTGGCTAGTGAGTCAGTGCAATCAATCCATTTTGGGAGACTGGTAAAGAATTATATTCTGGTCTTGCTTGTCTCCAGATTTGACCCTGTCCCGAATTAAGTCAATCTGACAAATTGGTACATAGAAATAAAAGAAAATCAAGAAAGAAACTTGTGTGTCAATTCAATCTATGCTATACGCTTGATTTTCAGTTTTGATTACTTTTCTCTTGTTTTTTTTAATAATTTTTTTTCTTTTCATCTTTCACCGTTGTTACTTGATTTAAATCACTTTTTTTCTCCTGCCCACTCAACACCAACTGTTTTCTCTTCTCTCCAGTTCTTTCTTTAGCCCCGTTTTTTTTCTTTTCTTTTAATATTTTACCACTTTTTCTCGCTTTTTCTCGAATTGCGGTTTGTGATTTTTTCCCCACATCTCATGTCAAGACATCAACAGCGCAAATGGTAACATGATGTATACTGGGAATTCTGTTTTGCTCACTACTTCCGACACGAATTGATGTGTGTGTGTGTGTGTGTGTGTGTGTGTGTGTGTGTGTGTGTGTGCGTGTGTGTGTGTGCATATCAAACAAAAAATATTTACTTTTATATATACCTATGTATATACAATTTATATATTAAAAGCAAAACTATATGCATACATACACACACACACACATATATATTCCATTAAAAAATATACTTATATACAAATACTTATAAATATTAATATCTTATATATATATATATAAAAGTAAAAAAATATATAGATATATATTTGTATACGTGTCCTTTATCTACTACCTATATATATATATATATATATATATATATATATATATATATATATATATATATATTTTTTAAATATTAAAAGCAAAAAATATACATATATATATATATGTATATATATTTTTACTCTTATAACTTTATACATACGTACACACACACATATATATATATATATATATACAGACACACCTATTTTGGCATAAAAAAAGTATGGTGTACGCTCAAGCACATAGCAAAAGAAATTTAATCACATGCAACATTATATATATAACAGAAAAACATACAATTTTAAAAGCCTTAATCATATAAAATATATACAATATTGATTTATAAGATATATATAAATATATATGAATATATACGTTTCTAAAAGCCTCAATCGAATTAATCATAAACACGTATTTATACACCATAATATAAATATATATATATATGGTCATATGCATATTTAGACACCATAATATATATATATATATATATATATATATATATATATATATATATATATATATTATATATAATTTCAAAAGATGTTATTTAATTATAAATGCACATGTATATATGTTGTAATATCAGATACAATGTTAGGTATTTATATATTTATTCTATATCTTGGTCTCTGTGTGTGGTGTATACATTATCAAAACCTTTTCTGTAAAAACCTTTTTGTTAATATAAACGTGTTTACACACACGCATATATATATATATATATATATATATATATATATATATATATATATATATATATATATATTCTGCAGGAAAATACACATACAGATGCATTCATCTACATATTTATAAATAATGTATACAAGTTATTGAAAGAAAAGAATACATAAAAATAACAGATATTCGCAAATGCTTCAAGTCTGCAGAAGTCAAACATTTAAAAGTTCTTGTATAATGTGAGGTGAGGTGCTAAAAAATCTCGGATCAACCAAGATGTTCTTCTCTTAAAAAATCTGTATTTTGGCAGATTCTGGGAAATGGGTTGGGCAGAGATCTTTTCAGCACACTGCAGGCATATTATGTCTTAAATACGCCTGCAGATTATGCCTCAAATACGCCCGCATATTTAACGAGTCATTAACGAAAGACAACAAAACATGATGTTCAGCTACATGCTCCAAATTGGAACATAACTCACTCGTACTTTCACACATATCGGAAACATTGACATGGCACTTTGCACACAATTACATGCAGACGCCCACACACGTATATATATATATATATATATATATATATATATATATATATATATATATATACTGAACAAATGTACTTTTGTTTATTTAAACTTTAAATTTTTATTTAGTTAAACATTAAAATATATAGATAAAAATAAGTAAAAACTAATATATGCAACGATAAAGTAAAGTAAATCAACATGAATCACGTTTTATTTCGATGATGTCGATTTATTTACACTATTTACAATGCTCAAGACAGTTGTCCTCATTTTGGTTGCCATATTCACGATGTTTCGGCCGTTGTACGCTCTGGCCTTCTACAATATGGCAACAAAGACGAGGACGACGTTCCAAACAATGTAAATAGTGTAAATAATTACAATACCTAATCTCAGAAATATAGACAGATAATATCGATTTAGTTGAAACAAAATTCTTTTTCTGTTTACAACGATTCATCGGTGAAACAGGTTAAAATAGAAGTTTTCCAAATTGTCTTACTCACATACGCACACACACACACACAAATACATACACACGAACAGGTTTTATTGGATTCAACTGACATGTTCTTTTTGTCTAATTTTGATTGTATTTTTTACAATTTACAAACAAATTGATGCACATTCGGACCAACTGTGGCTAAACAAGTTCATGTTTTTGTTCGAATAATTTCGACTTTCTCTGTCGTTATCAAGAATAAAATATTGCCAGTATCGTAGATACACGTACATATAAATTTGAAATATAGCGTTTAAAAAAATACCAGGATATGATTAACAAAACTTTATATATTAGGCATACTCTGAAATTAATGTCTTCTGTTTATGTTCGTAGAAACTATAACAGATACAGGGAGCACAATCAATGGATTGAGAAAGTTTTCTTTTAGATTGAGAAAGTGTTCAACCAGAAAACACTATTTTCCCACATAATTACCACCAGTGGCTATGGGTTGGCGATGAAGAAGAGCTTTTCATTTTGTAGTTAATCCCAAGTCAACTCTGCACGTAGGTCCCTTGATAGACTTGTGTGAAATTGAGTATGAGGAAGTAAACAGCTGGTTTCTTTATTTCTATATAGTTTCAACATTTGCCCATTTTTAAAAAATAATATTCTTTCTTTATCTTCACTCTTTTCATTCTTCCATTTATAGTCATTTCTTCTCTTCGTTTTTGTTCCTTGCACTTTATATATTATATGCTCTGTAGGCTTTCTCTGATTCGTTCATATTTTCTTTCTTTCTTTCTTTCTTTCTTTCTTTCTTTCTTTCTTTCTTTCTTTCTTTCTTATGAAATTTTATTTGTTTTATGTCTTTCTTTCTGTAAATACACATCATATTTAAAGTCACTTCCAATCCACAAAACTGCGGCGATGTATCTATCTTTACTCACTAGTCTCTTTCTCACTCTTTCTCACTATCCCTTTCTCTCTGTCACACACACACACACACACACACACACACACACACACACACACACACACACACACACACACACACAAAAAAAACAATGCATGTGTATATATGCGTCATACAAAGGCACTGTTAAATATTTGTTTCATATATATAACATCAGTTAAGTGACAAATTGTATTTGTATCAATCATACACACACACACATATACACACACTTGTTGGAATAGATTCCTCGTAATGTGTGTGTAGATCTGTGTGTTTGTGTGTATGTGAACAATAACCCTGGAGTGACACGTAGCTGTATTGTGATCTGAAATATTTGTTGATTAAAATAAATTTTTATTATTAGGTTTCAGACTAACATATATATATATATATATATATATATATATATATAAACTCACGTATTTAGATGTACCTACGTATGAACATAGTACATCCGAATCATTGATCACGATGACTTGAAATTCATGAAGATTTGAAGGAAGCCGAAACAGAAGCGAGCATGAACAGTATCAATGAAGGCTATAATCCTCAAAAACCACGAAAGATTTGCTTGTTGTGGATAGTCTGATATTCGCCGAAAAAGTACTTGGAAAAACCTCTGTCTTTCAGGAATTCTGTGATGTGGTTGGATGAGTCTTGAATAGAATTGTTTGATGGAAGTATGGGGAATCCTATATAAAGGGAAAAAAAGCACTGCGTCCCATTCAAAGAACACAATCCCGACAGTGAAGTAGCATCATGATATTTTTTTAAATCATTTCACGCCAAGCAAAGCAATAAAGCCACTAAGACGCAAGGGTTTACTGAGTGTGAAAAAGATATTAGAAAAAAAACATGATTAAGGAGAGAGAACAATAAAAGAACAAGGATTCAGAAGACAACGACTAACATTACATTTAAATTTTTGATGATCAAATTTGGAAAGTAATCTGGAAACTAAGAAGCCGGAGCCGGAAGAGAGTTCTATAAGTGAGAAGTGCAAAAGGAGAAACTATTAGCGTAAAACTGACGGTTATATATCACCATTTCAACTGTAAGATGATGAGATCTTGCCGACTATTTAGTAATGCGCTTAAATTCATAAAGTCTAGGTACCATAGCGAAGAGCTCAGACGAATAATTACCATGAAAGTAATTACAGAAAAAGTACATGGAAGCTACATTACAGCGGTGGGAAAGTGACTGAAGCCGAGATGTCAATTTAGGACCAATAACATTGCAGATTCTTCTTTGAATTTTATAAACAATCTCTAAATGTATAGCAAAAGCAACAAACCAGATATGATAAAAATATTCAATTCATGGACTATATTCACTATATGGGACTATTTTTGTTCAAAGTGAGCATACTATGTATCGACAGGTTTTGGAGGAGCAACTGAAATCGTCTCCAAAGCCATGAACTTATCATGACGTTGTATTTAGTAAAGAAGACAACAGTTATAAACATTCAGCTGAAAACAAAATGGTTCCAAAAGTCTCCTGACTTGAATCCCATTTAGAATTTGTGCCAAGAACTGGAAGTTAGAGTACTAGAGATCTAATTTGAAAATCATTTTTCAGAGTATTATAAAATACCGACTTATGTCTTCAGAAACTTATTAGCACCATCTTTTAAGCCATTGCAAGATGCCGTTGCTTTTTAAGGTTACAGAACTAAGTATTGAATCATTTTTCTATATGTAGTAGATATTTGTTTCTATTCTTATTTCTGGTACTTGATCCAAACATTTTATTAATCGTTTTATTTAAAAAATAATATCATTTTTGTATTTAAGTGTGGTGGCATTGCTTTTTGTTTTCCTTAATTTGGAAGCTGTATATCACTATCAGTTATTATCATCCTCATTGTATAAAACTTGTTTCATATACGGTCAGTGAGATCTCCACAGAGAACCTTTTCTCCCTTCCACCAGCATGACTGATGTAAAAATCCAGGAGAGCAAAATCTTGGACTCACATTTTCTACTAACATGAAGTGGAGCGATAACATTGAATCAATTGCTCCGTCTACGACTAGGAGAGTTCATTCATTGTGTTGTGCCAGTAAATCTTTCTCGTCAGAATCTTGCATATTTATAAATCTACCATTCGTCCCTTCGTGGAATGCTGCTGGTATAGTGCTCCTGCTGTATATCCCGAAATTCTTCACAAAATTCAAAGAAGGGGGTCTGTAATGCAATCGATTCTGACCTGACATCTTGGCATCAGTCACTTTCTCACCGATGTGACGTAGCTTCCCTGTCTTTTCTAAAATTATTTTCATGGCAATTGTTGCGATGAGCTTTTTCCCCTGGTGCCTCGACTATACTGACAACTAGATTTCACCGTTTTACCGTTGAACTAGTTAGATGCAACCGCTACTTCTATTCTAACAATTTCTTTTCTCGTACTTCTCACTTGTGAAACTTACTTAAATTTAAATGCAACGTCAATCACCATCTTCTGTCTTTCAGAATCCTATTCCTTTATTGTCTTTTCCTCATTTCTCCTCACTGAAGTCTTCTCATTCTCTTTCACTCCCTGTAAACCCCTATATCTTAGTGACATTATCGCCTTTCTTGCGGTGAAATGATTGAAACGTAGCCTACCTAGTGCAATGGCGCCGTAGTCCTCTTTAAAATACTAGAACCTAGCGCACGTATCCTTTCGTTCTTAAGAAATTTTAGAAACAATATGTAAATTCCATTTTCTGGATAATAACCATTTATATCTTTGCGTTCTCTTTAATCTTGTCCACGATGTTTCAACAACGATTTTAACTTTGCGAAAAGCCAAAAATCGGAGTTAGTTGAATCTATATTTTTGGGAATGGCGTTGACAAACGTGACCTTTTGCCAAGAGCTTTGAATAAAACATGAATAATCTACCCATTGGTTTTTTGTTAATACGGTGATCACACAGTGTCCAAGCTCGCACATTGACGTCTCTCTACTCACTTAACAAATTTACAAGACAATGTCTGTTCACGACGACAAAGTAAGGTCTCCATTAATTGTTTTTAGATTGTGTCACGCCTACAAAGTAATGTCTTCATTAATTGTTTTTAGATTGTGTCAAACCTGAGCTCTGTCCGATCAAGAAGACATAGAAAAATGATGTTTCGCCATTTCCTCAGATTTTTAGTAGTTATTGATAAAGATAGGAAAATAGAAAAGTTATTAATAAAGATGGGAAAATATAATTTAGAAATAAACACAATTCACAGTAAAATCTGTTGAGGATTAAATGAAACTTCCATGGAACTCAAAGTACAGATTGAAAAAAAGGTAAGTAAACCAATATATATTAATTCTAAGGTAATGGAATTTTATTTATCAGTCCAACAGATTTTTATCACTTTAAACGTTATTGTTAGTGGCTACTCATATTTGAGTAGACGCTCCATTTATTTATTAAACAGTATATTTTTTATGTCCCTCTACTGGCCTGAATATTCGAGATATCTTATTAAAGAAAATATACTGCCTGTAAGATTCGAACCTGCGTCCCCCAGGAAAGATGAAAATAAACATCGTTAGACCCGACATGTCTTAGACGCCACCACCACGGAGCAGCCTTACCGATCGAGCAAAGTCTGAAACGTACCTTTAAGCGAAATCCTTCTCGTATTAATTATGTATGTGTATGCGCGTATGTGTGTGTTGATCAATATTCCATCGAGTAACATGTATTATTGTTATTATGCTACAGATATACTGATATATCTACCTGTGTGTGTGTGTGTGTGTGTGTGTGCGTGTGTGCGTTTCTATTTTCTACCATTCTGTGGTTTCGTTTTCATCCGTCATTCAAATGCTTTTGATATTCTGCTTTAGTTTTTTTTTTTTTTCATAACTAACCTTAATCGACCTATCCGTCGTTCCTCTGAGATCTTTCTCTTGTAACGAAGGCAGCTTTTTATCTTCGTTACTGCGATGCACGCAATTCCCGTTATCTGATCGACAACAAAATTGCAGAGCAGATGAAACAATGAGTGTTGGGTGACGAACAAGAATCCTTTTTATGTTCTTCAGTTTTCTCCGTCATATTAACTATCTTTACCTCTCTGTATAATTTATGTATTTATACATTTTTTAGTATTTGATTTCTTCTTCTTCTTCTTCTTCTTCTTCTTCTTCTTCTTCTTCTTCTTCTTCTTCTTCTTCTTCTTCACTTGCGTTTACTTTCGTCACCTATTTTTCTTCTGTGCTATTCTGCGATTGTCTTTAATTTTTTGTCCTGATCACAGAGCTCATTCTGCAAACACCAGTTATTATTTGATCACCAAAGTTAAGCAAAGTTATGCTTGATCATTACTTAGCTGAGTGACCTTTTAGGAACATCAAGTACAGTTGCTTATGGCTTTCTGTCGTACTTATCAAAGCCGAATAAATAAACTGTCCTTACCAATGAGTTTCTTTTAATATTAAGGCGTATCAAATGTATTTTATTTTTCAACCATCTCGAGTTTTCCTGTTGAGTATCTTTCGATGATCCGAGTTCTTCCGAAAGTTTAAGCGTGTTGATAGATTGGTTCTCCTATATTTTGTGTTTTAAAGTATCATAATTGATGGATTTTATTTCAAGAAGCAAAATGTTGCACATAGATATTTGTACGGGATTTCATTTATAGTAAGAATGTCATTGAACGTCAGCGATCCTATTCTCTTGGCCGAGGAAGTGGTACAAAGAATCGTCACAATCACAGACTTCTTCGGCTGTAATAGATGACCCCGACGCCTTCTGTGTCTTGCGTTCTTGCGTTCCACAACACTCGCTACTGCCACCTTCCTGACTGTTGGATCAAATGATCTCTACTCTCCAGTCCACCGGGCCCAGTCTTCGCATATTAGAGTAGACAATCCCTAACTCACTGAGAATTCAAGGCATGTCGACTACCCGGTTCTGCCTTCCTTCCAGAGAGGTTGCCAGGGATGTGGCCGCTATCGCATGCTAACAAATTCGGGGAGCCACTGGTGAAAGCTGAGTGCTATATGGGAACCAATAATGGACGAGTTGTCCTAAAAAGGATATGGAAAGCCCTGCACTGAAGGTCGTATCCATCTACGAGACAGGCCGTCCACACCATTACTCTTAAAACACTTAAATCAGTTTTGCTCAGTATGGTCAGATATTCTTTAATTTCGTTCCATTTCTCGAATTTTGGGAGCCTATTTATTAGCTCTGAGACCAAGTTTAAAATAATACTTAAACATTGGCAGAATTCCAATACTAGTATTTGCCATTATAACATCTGATACTAAATTTAAAAATATTACTGAATATGAATTAATAATACATTGGATTATGTATAGTCTATAAAATGTACTTTAAATAACTTTGGAACTAAATGTCTGTAAAAATTGAAAATACTTTTGATATCCTCTAATATATAATAATAATAATAATAATAATAATAATAATAATAATAATAATAATGAGGAGGAGGCAAAGGATTAGTTCAACTAGAATTGTCTTACAAAACCACAACAATCGATCTTCAAAGATATCTGGAAACTTCAGCAGACTGGATGATGGTCTGTGTCAAAGAACATGAAAGAAATGAGAAACTTTATTCAGTAACAGAGGAAGCCAACAAACTCAAAAGAGAGTTTCAAGTGAGTGAAGAATTGCAAATAAACCATAATACACCTACTGCAGCGGCAAAAACTTAAAAAGAAAGCAAAGGCAAATGCAACGTATTAAATGGAGAAACGATGGCAAGATATGCCTCTTCATGGTCAATACACTGCCCGTACCAAACAAGCTGATGTAGACAAACCCCGTAGACAAAATATGTCGAGTGTTTGGTTATTGGTTCCTAATTCATTAAGAAAAATAAAGATTTTAATTCAACGTTTTTGTCAGATGATTAAAAATGCGCAAATCACCACGAAGAGAATGTCCTTGAAACGTAAAACATATTCACCTGCAATTTAACACACTTGGTAAATAATTTCTGAAGTCTTTTTTTATACTAAAGTTTACCCAACGCATGGCTGAGAACCAAAATAGAGGGTTAATGTTAAAATGTTATGAAGAATGATGTGTGTGCATATCAATTATATCATATACACTTCAAGATATCATCTCATATGATGAATGATATATTATTTAATGTGGGCTGTTTATTTTATATAAGCTTCTAGAATTTTTAGTCTTTCTTTGCATTGTGCGCTGTAGAGTATTTTGGTGTTACACACTAATATTAGTCTTATATTGATAGTTACATTTTGGTCGTTCCTGATACACTGGTCGATATGTGCACGGATTGCACTGAGCTTAGACAGGTGATAGGCCAATCTACGAGAGAGCGTGGTGCATGTGTGCCCATTGTAAGTATTTAATATTGTTTTTTGGAGGTGCAATTTAAGATAAGAATTCCTAGACAACATTATTTTATATACGGGGCGGGATTTATGAGACCCAGTGTTATTGTAATAATTAAGTTAGAAGTTTTAAACTGTTTATAGTAGTTGATGAACCCTAGGTGTTGGTTAGGATCACTGAGTGATATGTACCTGTAAATTATGCTTTAATTGCTTTTTCCTCTTGTGTATAATTTGGGTGTACCTGGTAACGATATAATAAGTTAATGGTGTGTTTATTTTTGTTTGCGTTAGGGTGGGGTCTAGCGTCTTTTTTTCTGAATTTCGTTAATGCTAATTTTATTTATTCGTCGACGACGTGGTTAGAAAAATTATTGTTGATGAGAGTTTGTTTAATGTTGCTGAGAGTTTGTTTAATGTTGCTGAGTTCTTTATACAATAATATGTCCGACAAAGAGATAACTTTGATCCGCTAAATCGTTTTTTATAACAGCTATTTTGTATCTGTATTTTATATCGTTGTAGTTGAGTAAACATGAGCCAGTGGGATTTTTGTAAACAGAGGTGGTAAAATTATGGTTATTGACATCAAATAATATATCAAGGAAAATGATTTTATTATTAATATAAACAAGTTCGTAATTAAAGTGTAGAACAGTGTTATTCTGGAAGGTTTTTTCAGTTTTTTATTTCTTCTAGGCTGTGTGCTAATATGAATATGATGTCGATATAGCGTACATATATGTGGGTGGTGGAATTATTGAAGACTTTGTTTTTCACATGACACATAGAAATTAGATACAGTCGGTTCAAGTGCCGAGCCCATCGCTACGCCGTCAGTTTGTGTATAAGTGTCGGTATGGTGGTCATAAAATGGTACTTGTGTCGTGCAGGATAGAAGAATAGTTGGTCTAATGTTAGTAGGTGGGAATGAGCGGTGATTGCATACGTTCTGTAGGGCAATGTCTAGAGTTTCTTTGCCATGTTCCCAATAGCCATTACACATGACGTCAGGCTAAGTTATTTAAAACGTCCAGCTTCCCAAAGAATACCAGGATGCAGACAAATTAATTCTTATTACCACTCAGACACCATACCGGTTCTTGATAATGACTAAGAAAGTCGAAAGTACTTGAATAAAAATAACAAAATATGATCTTCGGACAGTTTATCCACAACTTCGAGCAAAATACTTAACGCCTTAAAAAATGAAACAGACAGAACTTGTCAGTTCTTTTTAATCAAACTTGATTGGACATATATATATATATATATATATATATATATATATATATATATGTGTGTGTGTGTGTGTGTGTGTGTGTGTGTGTTAAAGTTCTCGGAATATATTTGTAGAGAAGATGAATTGAATAAAATAGACAATTTTTTGACTAAGTGTTTTTTTTTATTTAATTTGACTTCTATACAGGTATATTCTGAGAACTTTAACACATTGTCGAAATGGAAAACAATAACACACTAGATCAAAAAAAGAAAAGAAAAAAGAAAAAGTTAGTAATATCCAAAAAGAGGCTTTTGCAGGAACGTCTTTTAAAATTTTAGAATTTCATGTAACTACGTAACATTTCGCTTTTGTTTATCATTATTTGCCTTGATAATCTCGAATGACGAAACGCGTCGACAAGGACAAAGTACTATTTTCCGATTGTCTATTTTATATATATATATATATATATATATATATATATATATATATATATATATATATATAAAAAAGAAATATGTTGTAGTGGTTCCAACGAGAGAAAAGTATGTATATTAAAAAGAAGAGGTGCCGCAAACGTTTTTGGTTGTAATGTGGATTTATTGAGAAAAAATATTATACTTTGTTTTACATAATTTCACGACACGTGTTTCTGGTCTGGTCTCGCAAACCGTCTTCAGGTGAAAGTGGAGATTTTTACATATTATTAAAAATAATTAATTTTTCTTCATGTTCAATGTGGAATATTCTCGATATGAGACATTCTGTTTGTGTGTTGGCAATCCGAATTTTCTTTCTAGAATTGTCAATGAAGAGTTCTGCGTGAAGGGTCATAAAACAATTAAGGTTTGTCCAGCAGTAGTTATCGGCATTTAATCTTTTAATGTTTTAGTGACCTCTATGTGCTCTTGGATCTGTTTCTATTTTGGCGTGTTCCTGTCAGCATGCGTGTATATATGCGTGCGTATATTTCCTTACTACGAGGAATTCGTAAACTTATTTGTACTTATACACATACACACACATACGCACATACACACTATCCCACCACAAGTAGTCAGTACACACACACATACACACATATTTCCCAAGCTACATGGAACCAGTACACACACACACACACACACACACACACACACACACACACACACACACACACACACACACACACGTACTTCTTAAGTTGTCAACATCCGCATATACATACATAAATGTATGTATGTGTACATACACATATATATATATCCTCGTGTCTCCCGTATATGAGTGTGCGTCCATGTATGTGAGCGATCATTGTATTTGGTCACCCTGTGTGCATTTTTTTTTGTGGGGTGGGGGGTTACGATCTATTCAGTTCGTGTTTGAATTTGTCTATAAAGTTTTTTTCCTGTATTTGTAGATACGAGTAATTGTCTGTTTGATATATCGGCATGATATTAAACTTACCCTGGTTACATTTGAAAATGTGTTGTGATACAAAAAGTTTTCTGTTGTCTGTCAATTTTATATTGCTTTTGTGTAGTGAGACCCTGTTGTTCAGTTGTTGGCTGATGCCTATATATGACTTCTTACATTTTGTGCATTTAAGTGCATAAACTACATTTTTGGAGTTGCAGTTTAAGTTTTTGTTTATTGTGAATGTTTTTTTGGGTTTTCAAAAGTGTAGGA